CCTAGATTAAAAAGGGGGGTATAAAAGAGGAAAATAATGGAGGAAGGGGGAGTCAATAGGGAGTTAGAAAGAGAGAAGAGCGAGAGGGAAAGCAGATATGCATACCAACTATCAGGTAAGAGGGAGACACAAGGCCGAGAAGAAGTGAAGAAAGATACATAAGAAAGATTCCCTAAAGAGTACTGATAGCTACACAGAGACAGGCCAATAAAATCAAGAAACAGTGTAAGTCAGAAGGCAAACAACAAACGTGATCAAAGCCAACAGTTACAATGATAAAATCATAAGTCAAAATAAGTGATCAGACTAAAGTCACTTCTCTGATCTCCGATTCCGGCATCTCCCCTTTGTTGTTTGTTGTAGCATAGGGGTGGGCCTTTGTCTCCTGTTTCGTGCCATTGCCTTAGGAACTGAGGTAAAGTTTTGTTGATAGGTGGGCGGGGCAATGGAAGTCTCTGCCTGGAGAATGGCGAGGCAGTTTATGCAGATCTGTTTTTCTCCGCTTGTCTGGGTCCCCCGGCTTGGGGTCTCGCGCTGAGTGCCTCAGCCAGGGTGGGCCCGGAGTTCCAGAGCTCCAAAGCTCCAAAGGGCAGGTGGTGAGCGGCCAGAGTGGCCCTGGGCCCCCCACAGGGTACTTCAGCCAGGAATGGGACTGGTGTCTCTGAGGGGTGGGCGCCCAGAGCCTCCCTGAGTGACCAGCGTCTTGGTGCTGGGGCCAGGCTGGAGACGATGTAGCCAGGGAGGGAGCTGGGAGGGGGCTGGGACCTGAGAGTCCCACACACTCAGTGAAACAGCAGCAGTAGGGGGCCGCAATATCTGGCCCTACGTGGGACTGAAGGTCCCCAGGCCTCACACCAGCATGGCTGGTGGTGGGCTGGGGGCTGGGGGAAGAGAAGTAATAGTCTTTTTGGGAACTCATGTTTGGAGAATCTCACAAGTTTACCTATGCCATCACCATCTTGTTCCTGTCTCTGTTTTCAATAGGTGATTTTTTAAAATAATAAACCTAAATACCAAATTGTTCCATTATGAGATACCAAGTTTGAAAATTGGAAAATTAACACTCAGGGTCCTTAACCAATTTAGAAGTTCTAAACACCATTCATGTTTCATTTTGTAGGATCCTAAATACAGTTTGATTCTCTCAGGTGTGATGGGTAAATGTTTTTGAGATGGACTGAAAGTTAATACATGGCTCTTATTTGCAGGATTTTTTATGTTGAAGGCAGCTTTATACACTTGTATTTGAGGGTTCAGACCTTCCCTTTGTCAGCATTTTGGATATAATGTAATTGTCTACCTCACCCCTGAAATGTCAGCGTTTGCATTAATTGAGTGACTGCAACTCCTAACTATATTTTGACTTTATTTTCAGGATCAGGGAGATCTTGAAGGCTTCTCGAAAATTGCAAGGTGATCCAGATTTGCCGATGTCTTTTACTCTGGCAATAGTGGAATCTGATTCTACAATAGTCTATTATAAACTTACTGATGGATTTATGCTTCCAGACCCTCAGGTTAGTTTTGAGGTAACTGCAAGTAAGCAGTGGAAAAAGAAGAAAATTATAACATGGTTTTGAGTGAATCAAGCCATTCATAAAACTGCCTCTTCCTTTTGCCATATGAAGAATTCAAGAAAAAATTGGCTTGATTTTCATATCTCAAAAAACTAGATATATTTTGTTCAAAGTGGCATGTTTCTAGTTATTTTTTAAGAAAATAATTTGATTCCCTTGCTCTATGGAGAATTTCATAGTTTCCCAGAGTATTTCATGAAGTCATCATGCACTTAATTATTTAGTGAGTAACCGAGGTGGAATGTAAAGGCTAATAATAGTTCTAACTAAAAGAACACTTCTTCAGGAAATGTTACATTGGTTGACATTTTGACAGGAACATTTTAGTAAAAATAAATGTGTTATATGTACTTACATACTTTGTTGGCATAATTTGGATAATTACACGAAGCATCATTTAATTCTGCTTTTAAGTTACATTATTTATTGGGGGAATGGTCCATCTTGATTTTTTTTTTTAATATGTTGCAGAATATTTCCCTCAGAAGATGACATCTATGTTTCCTGATGCTTATTTTACTCATACAAGAGTGGATTCAAGACCCGTCAGCTTGCTTCATCTTTTATCTTGGAGATAGTCAGGGTTGACTTTCCCATTTTATAAATTTCCCTCTCTGAAGAATAAAACTTCCCCAGATAGAAAATTTTTTTTCCTTCAAAAATATAGGCTGATTGCTCCAGAAATCTTCTATCTGGAGACAGTTTAATTACAGTTATACACAGGTTTATGCCTAGGATGTGCTCAGATGGGCGGAACCCATGTGCTGCTCCTGTCATCCTACACTTGTGCTGCCTCTGTGTTCCATGCTGCCACTGCTGGCTCATTGTTGAGGCTAGCACATTTTTCTTTTACTCAACTCTCCCAGGGCCTTTTGGCCACTACAGCTAGCTTGGAATGGCATTTCATATATACCTTGTCATCTGCAGAGTTTACTTCTGTATGCTTTTTCATCCTCAGTAGAAAGTAAAACATTTATTTCCATTGGTCTTCTGTTATAATTACTGTTACCTCTCTCTTTGGTTGACTTTAAATCAAAACAAAATATGTTCATCCAGAGTGTAAACGTATATGTTTAGGTTAATAGGGACCATAGAAGTGCTACCTACTAGGCCTTCCTTTCCATTCTTATCACCACCATCCTTATTATGTCATGGCTAGAATATTAGAAGAGAGACAGTGTGTAACAGTATCAGCCTCAAAACCATTTTTATTCATTTGACTTAGTGATTCCACTTTTGTTAATATCCCCCAATCATGTTTTCTGAAGTATGAAAAATATTCACAAAGATGATCCAAGTTGCATTAATTTTAATAGCCCAGTTAATTTTATAAATCACTTAAAGTTTAAGGCAAGGATCAGCAAACTTTTTCTATAAAGACACAGAAAGTAAATATTTTAGGCTTTGCAGACCATACTGTCTCTGTAGTAACCTGTTAACACTCCTGTCCATAGCACAAAAGCAGCCATGGACAATATGTAAACAGTGTGGACATGACTATGTTCCCATAAAACTTCACTTACAAATATGGGGGCATAGTTTGCCATCCCTGGTCTAGGTAATGGTCCATAAACAGGTATATGAATGGTACATTATGTACTCATTATGTACTCATAATGAATGTTATAAAAAACATGAGAACTATTATATTAAATAAAGGTTGCAAGATACAAGATGGTATGAATGGGTGTAATCAAGGCTACAAATAAGCATGTAATAAAAAGATGGCAAATCAAATTACTAACTGTGGTTATAGTAGGATGGTAGGGCAGTAAATGGATAACTTTATGTTTTCTCAGTGTTTCAGTTTTTATTTGTATTGCTTTTACAATAAAAACATCTTAAATTTTTTTTTAAGTGTCTTGAAATCTATGTTGGTTATCTATCATTACATAACAATATTACCACAAACTTAGCAACTTAAAACAGCACACATATATTGGCTCATAGTTTGTGTGGATAAGGGGTTGGCACAGATTAGTTGGGTATTCTGTTAGGCTATAGCCAAGGTGTTGTCCAGGGCTGCAGTCTCATCTGAAGCTTGACTGGGGAAGAGTCAACTTTCTCACCAATGTGGTTATGAGCAGCCATCAGGTCATCGAGAAAGCTCAATCCTAATGGGCTGTTGGCAAGAGGACACCATCAATTCTTTGCCACATGGGCCTTTCCAACACAACCAGATGCTTTCTCAATTCATCAAAGGAGAAAGTCTCAGCAAGATGGCCCTCACACCCTTATGTAATGTAATCATGCACATTGTATCATCTTTGCCAAGTTCTTTTGGTTGGAAGCAAGTCATAGGTCCTGCCTATACACAAGGGTTTCATGACTGATTAGGCAACAATAACAAGAATGGAAAATTGACAAAAGCTAGGAACACAACAAAATGGCATAGAGCATCATTCTTAGTCTGTAGCCATTTTTGACTCCTTTCCTTTGATAGTATTTGAACTTCACTTTTATTCTCAGTGGAAGGCCTTCATATCTCGGTCACACTCCCTCTCCTTCCCCAGAAGTGTTGAAGATGCATCTATTCAGAACAGTATGTGCTTTGGTGACTTTAGTGGGAAGTTTACACACCTAAGAATCCTAAAACATTTTATGACAAATTCTTAGGATCTCTTGATTTCTTAAGATCTCTCATTTGATTCATTTTGAGGCGTATCGTCACAGTGCTAGAAAAGCAGCATTTTCAGAAAGTATAAACCTTAATGAATGTCAGATTTGTGTATCAGATTTGGTGACCAGTGGCCCTCTATAAGACCAGAAGTGTCTTTTGTGGTTGACTGTAAAAGATGCTTTCTTAAATCTTTAAAACTAGGACCCCATCCTACTCTATGTCCTGGGATGTTTCCTCTATTTCAGAATGTTCCCTGTGTACTTGACTGAAGTTGTCCTATTCAAAGTCAGCCAGATGCCTGCTAACATGGTCCAGAACAGTTTGGAAAAGGAGGCAACCCAGCTGTGTCTGTCTCATTTTATTGCAAAAGTAGGTAAAGTGATTTGTTTAAATAATTTTGTACTTGAGTTTATATTTGTCTCCCTTATTAGACTACGGTCTTAAGAACACAATAAGACACTATGTCTTTTTTTTATGTATAGCTCTGTATCTTGCCACTTTCCACAGTAATTGGCATATAGTAGACCCTCAGTAAATGTCTGGCAAATGAATAAATGCTGATGATAGACTTTTGTGATTATAGAACGGCTTACTTTTTGCCTCAAGGTAAACTAAAACAATCAATTGGACACCAGAGGGCACTGCTAGATAACCACAGCATTTTCAGACTCAGGGTAGATTGAGAAGTGGTGCTCTTGAAAAATTTATTTTCAATCTTTGGGAAATTGTGTAAATAAAAATATAAATAGGTTTTATGTGCTGACACCTCCTTTTTCTCTCTGGCATGCCTCTAAAATTATATTGACATTAAGTATGTTACTTGATTCATGTTTTACTAAAAATAGAACTATATTTAAAAATAAAAGTCTGTTTGGGGTGGGGGTGGTTGGGGTGAGGTTTATTTTTTCATAGAGTATGGTTTTGTTCTTAGCCATATGAAATTATGCATTTCATTCTTTCCTCGTAAAACCATAAGTGATTGAATGAATTTCGGGATCATATTACACAGCAAAAACCCAGTTCTGAAACACTCACTGTACTGCCTAAATACTGGTGGCGAAATGCTGGGAGCCAGCCTTGGAGGCCCGCCTGATTGACAAAGTCCAGGTGCACTAAGGACCCCTGGCCACAAAGCGAGTCCGGGCAGCTGAGGCCCTTCTGTCTTCCGTCTTTGCTGTTGGTACAGCTGAAGAAATTCTGTGCAGTCGTGGAAGAAGAAGATGGCATGTTTATGTGAAGTACTCACAGATAACCTGGAAATGTCATGGTTTATTTTTCCATTTCTCACTATGCTGTTTGGTCTTTTCTAACATATGTAAGGGTTAAACTCTGAAGCACATCAAGAACGCTTTCTTTCACTTGGTTATAAGTTACTAGATATTGCTTAAGTAATAAATGATATAAGTATATTCACTCCTTATTTGATTTAGAATTATGTAGTTTAGTGTTTAGACATAAGGTTTTTTAGAAGCACAAGTTTATAGTAAGTTCATTATGAATTCATTATAAGTTCTAACACTTATCTAGGAGTTATGTAGTTGATTTATAACACTGTTTTCACTGACTTAGGATAAAGATTAATCGTTAAGGTTTTTACTTAATTCAATAGTTAAAACTCTAAGTTAACATTTATAGAGTGGGTTTTCACTGAACTCATAATATACTAATCAGACACTTTTATGATAACTTAGCTAAAGACAGAAAGCAACCTTGGGGGCCTGGGAATCATTACTGAAAGCTTCTTTTGAGTTTTCTTTAGAAACAAGCACTGCAGGATAAGAGAAAAGTAACGGAGACACCTGGACAAGAAAGGCGATTATAAGCTCTGAAGGTCATAAAGCCTCAGAAGGAAGACTACTGCTAAACTTTCTGGAGACAGTTCAAGGACTGTAATTCGGGACTTTGGACTAAAACTATCATCTTTGGCCTTATGAATAAGACTCATTGTCTGAATGTTTGTAGGGTTCTTGTCTTGTTTGTTGCTAAGACCACTAGATGGTGGTAACTTGTAGAGCATATGTACGTGAAGGAATTTTCTTTGTCTTGCCCCTTTACGAATGGTATAAAAGCTCTGTGTTAACTAGCATTAAATTGTCATCTGTTCAGGAAGCAGGTGTCCGAGTATAATGTTTTCGTCTTTCGCCTATCCGTCTCTCCTTCAGGAAAACCCATGACCTTGCGGGGCTGGACCCCCGCAGCGAAAGACAAAAATTGCTGCTGTAACATGTACGAATATACCTTGTTTTATTGCATTTCTCTTTATTGTGCTTTGCAAAGATTGCGTTTTTTACAAACTGAAGGTTTGTGGCAACCCTGCTTCAAATAAGTCTATCAATGTAATTTTTCCAAAAGTATGTGATTACTTTGTATCTGTCACATTTTGGGAATTCTCATAATATTTTAAGATTTGTTGGGATTATTATATTTTTTCTTGTGATTTATTATCAGTGAACTTTGATGTTACTACTATAATTGTTTTAGGGTGCCATGAACTGCACCCTTATAAAGCAGCAAACTTAGTTGATAAATGTTACGTTGTTCTGACTGCTTCACCAACCTAGTCTTTACCCCATCTATCTCTCTCTCCTTAGGCCTCTCTATTCCCTGAGATACAACAATATTGAAATTAGGCCAATTAATAACCCTACAGAGGCCTCTAAGAGTCCAAGTAGAAGGAAGAGTTGCACATCTCTCACTTTAAATCAAAAGCTAGAAAAGAGGCTGAACATGGTGGTCCATGCCTGTAATCCCAGCACTTTGGAAGGCTGGGATGGGAGGATCGCTTGAGCCCAGAAATTTGAGACCAGTCTGGGTAACATAGTGACATCCTTTCTCTACAGAAAGTTTTAAAAATTAGCCAGTTATAGTGGCATATACCTATAGTCCTAGCTACTCAGGAGGCTGAGGTGGGAGAATCACTTGAGCCCAGAAATTTGAGACTGCAGTAAGTTATGGTCATACCACTGCATACCTGGACAACAGAACAAGACACTGTCTCTAAAAACAAAGAAAAAAAAAAGCTAGTCAATATTACATTCTTTTAAGCCACGCCCAATTCAGAGCAAGGCCTTATCTCTCTTCAGTTCTATGAAGGATAAGAGGGATGAGAAAGCTTCAGAAGGAACATTTGAAGCTAGCATAGTGTGGCTCATGAGGTTTAAGGACAACACCATTTGTATAACATAAAAGTGCAAAATGAAGCAGCACATACTGCTGCAGAAGCGGCAGCAAATAATCCAGAAGATCTAACACAATTGACGAAGGTGGCTGCACTAAACAACAGATTTTCAATGTCAAATAAACAGCCTTATAAGAAAATTCCATCTAGGCCTTTTATAACTAGAGAGCAGTCAATGCCTGACTTCAAAGCTTCAAAGGACAGGCTGACTCTTGTTAGGGGCTAAAGTGGCTGATAGCTGAGTTGAAGCCAATGTTCATTTACCATTATAAAAATCCTAGAGCCCTTAATAATTATGCTAAATCTACTCTGCCTGTGACTATAAATGGAACAACAAAGCCTGAATAATAGCACATCTGTTTTACAGCATGATTTACTGAATATTTTGAGCCCACTATTGAGACCTACTGCTCAGAAAAAAAAAAGATTCCTTACAAAATATTACTGCTTATTGTCAATGCATCTAGTCACCAAGAGTGCTCATGGAGATGTACAAGGAAATAATGTTGTGTTCACGCCTGCTAGTACAACACCCATTGCATGGTCCCTAGATCAAGGAGTAATTTTGACTTTCAAGTATTATTATTTAAGACGTACATTTCATAAGAAAGTACATTTCATAAGGCTATATCTGCCATAGATAGTGATTCCTCTGCTAGATCTGGGCAAAGTAGATTTTCAGCCTTCTAGAAAGACCTACCATTTTAGGTGCCATTACAAACATTTGAAATGCATGGGGGGAGATCAAAATATCAACATTAACAGGAATTTGGAAGATGTTGATTCCAATCCTCATGGATGACTTTGGGGGGTTCAAGTCTTTAGAGGAAGAAGTCACTGCAGATGTGGTGGACATAGCAAGAGAACTAGAATTGAAAGTGAATCCCGAAGACATGACTGAATTGCTACAATCTAATGATAAAACTTGAGTGAATAAGGAGTAGTTTCCTATGGATAAGCAGAGTGGTTTCTTGAGATGGAATCTTCTCCTGGTAAAGATGCTGTGAACAATGTTGAAATGACAATAAAGGATTTAGAATATTCCACAAATTT